GAGCTGGGTGGAGGTCCACAGCTCCTGTTGTCTTCCCCCTTTCCCTTTTCTCTCTTTTCAGGAGGAAATGGGTTTGAACACCCGGAGACCCTCCAGAAAGGAAGACGAAGAAAGGTCCCCACCACCCACTTCAGAGCAGCCGAAGACGATCTTTGGAAAGGGGCAGGAGGAGACGGACTCCTCTCTGAAAGAGATGAGGGAGTTACTCAGCAAAGACCCCCACACCTCTCTTGGGGCAGTGACCAGAATCACTTCATGGTGGGTGCTGAAGCCAGGGATGCTGATGGGCTAAATATCTCCCCTCCGCCCCTGGGATTCCCCCCTAGACCCATGGAGTTTCAACCGGGTTGGGTGGTGGAGCATCCACCCCACGGGCCACCAGGAGTGCTCGGCCAGATCCCACGGCAAGTCAGATCCTGGTCCGGAGCTCCCGTCCTTACCGTTTCCCCCCTTTTTCTCTTCCAGGAGAAGATGGGTCTGGGTTCTGAGGGCACGCCCCAGGGAGCCGAGATGGCAGCAGACCTCTCAGGGGAAGCAGGGGACCCTATTTGGGAGGCGGCAGAAGGAGGCAGAGGCATCCGCAAAAAGCCCGTTGGGGATACTCGTTGAAGATGATAGTGAGCAAAGCCTGGAGTGGAGGAAGGACATTAAACGGACAAAGATCGGGATCACCATCGTCCTCATCAAGAGAGAAGGTGTCCTCCCTTCGTCGGTCTGATCCTGAGACGTCCACCTGCATCTTCTGTCTCTCTGAGCCCTGGGGTCCTGAGACGCTGCATCTTCTGTCTCTCTGAGCCCTGGGGTGAAACTCTGCCCCCCCAATGGAAGACCCTTATTTTCCCAGGATGCTCGATTTCAAAAACAACACTCCCGGGAGGAGTCAAGTCAGGGCTCATCTGGGCTGGGAGTTCAGACGGTCACAATCAAGACCATCAAGGAAACTTCTAAGGTGGCTCTAGTGGAAAGCATCTTGTCACCCCAAATCTGAGTGAGGGGCTTGGTTCTGCCCAGGCAGGGTTTTTGTATGTATGTATGTATGTATGTATGTATGTATGTATGTATGTATGTATGTATGTATGTATGTATGTATGTACGTATGTACGTATGTACGTATGTACGTATGTACGTATGTACGTATGTACGTATGTACGTATGTACGTATGTACGTATGTACGTATGTACGTATGTACGTATGTACGTATGTACGTATGTACGTATGTACGTATGTACGTATGTACGTATGTACGTATGTACGTATGTACGTATGTACGTATGTACGTATGTACGTATGTACGTATGTACGTATGTACGTATGTACGTATGTACGTATGTACGTATGTACGTACGTACGTACAGTGGGGTCTTGACTTGAGAACTTAATCCGTATTGGAAGGCGGTTCTCAAGTCAAAAAGTCTGTAAGTCAAGTCTCCATTGACCTACAGTGCATTGAAAACCGATTAATCCCGTAACAGGCCGTTTTTGTTCCATTTTGGTTTTTTTCTGGTCTGTAAGTCAAATCTCAGTCTGCAAATCAAACCTAAATTTTGCGGCCAGAGAAGTCTGTAACTCAAAAAGTCTGTAAGTCAAGCCGTCTGTAAGTCAAGGGTCCACTGTATTTGCTCGGATATTTAAAATTTCCATCGGCGCTTTGGACTGGCCCACATAGTTTTTATACCTCTCCGTGTTACTGTAAGCGATAGATCTTTTCGGTTTTGTAGCTCAACTGAATATACCACACTGTTGTATATGTGGTCTTTAAAATCCTCTTGTTCATGAAAGCCCCTTCTGTTATTTTTTAAAATAACATTGGTAATGGCACAGCTAAAAACTCTTGTAAACAAACAAACAAACAAACAAACAAACAAACAAACAAATAAATAAATAAATAAAACAGTCTCTTCAAGAACATACATATGTTTTTCTTCTGATCAGCAATCATTCTGTTTTTATTTAAAGTCAGTCGCTTCCCATATGGGGCTTAGGGCTATATGTAAAGACATTCTGAAGCCCCTGTTTCATGAAGTTTCTTTACACCTGCTCATCTCCATAAAATGTACTATCCTCGATTTTGTACTAGTCTGCACCTTGGATTTTACTTTCTGCTCCTACCCATAAATATCAAACAGCCACCATTTAATATAAAATAGCAATCCACTTGCATTATACTTTCCTGACTTCTGGTGCCACTACTTTGCAAGTACCCTGTTTCCCTGAAACAAGACAGGGTCTTATATTAATTTTTGCTCCAAAAAATACAGTAGGGCTTATTTTCAGGGGATGTTTTATTTTTTTCATGTACAACAATCTACATTTATTCAAATGCAGCCATGCCATCTTCTCATTGCTGCACAATGGTGGAGGGCAGGGTTTCACTTTACTAATGCTTATTCTGGTGGTAGGGCTTATATTACGAGCATCCTGAAAAATCATACTAGGGCTTATTTTCAGGTTAGGTCTTATTTTCGGGAAAACAGGGTAGTTCCATCTTTTCCAGCTGTCTGTTTGCCCAGCATAATATTCATATCCCAGAACTGAATGATGTATCTTGATTCAGTGCCAGTGCAATTACACCTGTTCCAATTGGTATCCAAGCCTTTTGAATCAAGTTTTAAAAATTCAGGAAGGCTGCAAAACGGGAATTTCTGGTTCTGATGAAAACACTAAGATCCAGTAGAAACAGAGCACTGGACTCTTGCCATTATGGTGCTAATTAATAACATGAAACTGGGTTTTTCAAAAATTATTTTTTTCTCATGCCACACAACACCATGTGGAAGTGCAAGTTAGACCTGTACCAAATCATTGCTTCCAGCAATTTTGCTCTAAAAGTTGGCAGTTTAAATATATATGTGTCATGCTCCAACAAGACAAAGTTTGCGCACTGAAGTTAACAAACAATCCACAGATGAATAGTAAAATAGGCTATAACTTAAGCTTTTAAAAACATTTAAAGCTGTTTTACCTACCTATACAATTCGTGCCATCGTTGGGAATGAATATCTTGTTTTTACTGGAAGCCTGGAAGCCCTCAAGACAAACACAATAAAAGCTTCCATATGTATTGTGACATGAAGTATGATCACCACAAATCTTTTCTGTCCCAATCTGGCATTCATCTTTATCTGACAATATATTTAAAATATATGACAAAAAGGTTAAGCAAGCAAACAAAAAAAAAAATTAATAAAAAGTATCCATGTTACTCTGCAGCAATATTATTTTCTACCCTATAAAAACAGTTAAGAGAACACCTTGAGTGGTAAAATGTGTTACTTCTAACCTGATTGTACTAATCAATGTTTGTCATTCAAAAGTTGTTTTGAGCTTTATCTCTACTTACTCTATGAGACAAAGCAGACAAAGTGATATTATTTATTTATCAAGTGTGCACTGGTGCTGCGGTAAATGCACCTCACTACATAATAGCTAAGATGCTGTTTAGTGTAACAAATTACATTAGAGTAAGCCCGCTGAATCCATGTGAATTTGATGAGGCAACTCCTCCATAAGCACCACTGATTCAAACGGTCCTACTCTGTGACTTACTTCAGCATAGTAAGTCACAGTTAGACTAGTTCCATTTGAATCAATTGAACCGACAGAAAATCTGCCTCACGAAACTGCCCACTGATTATACGGCAACTGATTATACTGCAACTGACAGTAACAGGATTTTACCCCGAAAGGTAGAATATGAAATAAATTGATATCTTCTTAACTAGAAAAATATATATAATGAAATTGGTATTGTGGGACTATCTGTTTCTTCATCTGCCTATCCTACTGCTTTTCTGATCTTTCTTCAGAGTCCCTCAAAGCAGTTCACAATATAAAACATTAAAGTATATTTTAAAAAAAGATTAAAACAAAAGGATCAGTTATTAAAAGGCTAAATAAAGACAGCATAAAACTACTGAAATAAATCTAACCAAAGTGGATAAAAATCAGGTTTTTTAAATGACTTAATTCATGGCTTAAATAAAATTCACCCTGAATCTAACATTATTAAAAGCTATTCAAATTTGAACACATTTGCTATTGCCCTCACCAAGAACAAACTATTTCGCCATTCGTTCTGTCAAGATGTTCTATGAAATTCGCAGTGCTGAAGCCCATTGTACCAATGGGCAATAGGTCCATAAAAGATGTTAAACTTTCTTACTTGGTAATTCTCAGCATGGGTGGTATTTATTTCAGAAAGGTACTGCATTTCAGGGCTCTGAAATCCTGTGCCTGAGTTAGTGTTACAAATGCACTGGCCATGTGAGAGAACATCCCCCAAACCTGTTGTGCCAGTATCTTTCCATTTAGACTTGGTTCTTACTGTCAGGTGCTTAAGATCTGAGACAAGGAGACTGGCAGCCAAGCTGATTGATGGTACAGGGAATAACGTGGCTATGTCTCTAGGAAAAAGGTTGCTCAACTGAGACAATGCAACAGATTTAGAGGTTTTTATACAGTGTAGTATTAGTGGTTTGGCTTCTCTGGTGTATCCTGATGTCCAGCTTTTGGACAAATTATGGATTTCACCATTAGCCCAAGTGAGGCAGTCACCTCAGGCAATGGGGTACTAGGTGTTGCAAATCAGCACCCTCCAGCTTCTCCAGGTAGGGCCCTTGTTGCTTTGGGGCGCTACCACTGTTCTGTGAAAACTCTGCGGTTCCAAGCACTATGTGAATGCTGCCATCCTCCACAAGACAAACAGAATTAAAAAGGAGGCTTGGGGTAGCCATGGAGACAGCTTCTTCCACATTCTGCTGAGTCCTGAGTGCCAAAAGGCTACTTTCAAAATTATTTGGTTGTGGCGGAGGCAAATTTTATGGTCATCTCCCACAGTCTCCTAGTTCCAAGGACCCCTTGGAATTCAACTGGTACTGAACCGACTGTAGAAGAACAAGTGAACTCTATGAAGTAGCAGCCAGTTTCAGTAATGGTGGCGGTGCAGCTGCAGCAGCCTCCTCTTCTTTCCCTCCTCCTTCTTCCTTGGGTAAAGTTTTGGGTGGGTTCCCAGCCATTGCTGCCTCCTCCTCTGCCTTTCATCCTGGATGGGGGATGCCATAGCCATGTCTTCTCCTTTGCAAAAGGTGGGAGTGGGCAGGCCCTCCAGGCCCTGCCACTACTAGATCCTCATTTTTTTGGTGAGCTAGCAGGTAGAGAGGGGGAAGCAGGTGCAGATTTTTTCTTCTTCATTTTCTGGTGTGAGAGGAAGCCCCACTCATCGCTGCCACTCCCTCTCGTAAAGGAGACATGTGTGCCCCACTAAATGTGGCGGGGGGGTTACTCCACTTCCAATCTCAACAGGCAGGAGAGCTTCGGCTGCCTCTCGGCACCTATATATTTAGTGATGAGGGTGAAACTACGCGAGCATACAAGACTGTGGCGCACTTCTGGGTGGCTTCAGTCATGGTTTAGCCATTCAGAAGACCAATCCTGTAAGTTGTTGTTGTTTTGTGCCATGAATTCAGAACAGACTTATACTGACCCTAGCAGGACTTTCCGGGTAGGTGAGATATGTAAGGAATGGTTTCACCTATTCCACACTCCCAGTGAGTTTCCATGGCTGAGCAGGGATTTGAACCCTGCCCTCCTAAATCTTAATCTGTTGCTCTAGCTGCTACACTGTACTGAGTGGTTGTTAAACACCCAACAACATTTGGGGCAGAGAATACATGGTATAAAACAAAAATAAATAAATAAATAAAAATAAAATAAATAATAAATGATCAAAGCATCCTTCTATAAAGGATGCCTTGTGAATGTTCACCTACCTTGACAGTAAGTCCTTCCATTACCCACAAATCCATAGTTACAGACACAGGCATTTTTGCCATCTATTTGCTGGCATGTGGCATTAGCATGGCAAGTGGCACACACATCAGAAAGTAAATTGCTTGCTGCATCTAAAATAAAATAAAATAAAAGTACTGTAAATTGGGATTGGGAGACTGCCCAGCAATGCTCTGGAAATCTAGCATCACTCCCCAAAGGAATTACACTAAAGGGCATCCTTGCACTGTTGTATTAGTTCTGGATCCTGGAAAGACATAGTAACCCCTCTTCCATGTTCAACCACAGTTTCATGTGCTTGGATAAGCCCATTTCTACAAACAGCGGGGAAACAGCCACAGATTAGCAGCTCCCTGGATTCCCTTGTGAGGCCCGAAGTGGAGCACAGCTGACTCAGTCCACAAGTGTTCTTGACTGAGTTGTTTGGAAACAGGCAGCCTCAAGATCAGTTACTGTGCCTTTCTGATCCTGAATTGCTGCCAGCTTTTCAGCAGGTAGAAACGGCTGGAAAAAAATGTTGATTATAACTCTTCTAAAATTACTTCAATAAACCCCGGAAGCTCCAGTACCAGAGGGATTTTTCTTCTCAATGCAGATAATGGTTTCAGAGGAGCAATTTTCATCAGTATGGCACTGGGTAGGGAGAGGGTTAAACTTCTTCTCCATGTCCTCTGCAATGCTGTTAACTACTGCCCTCCCCTAACCCAAAGTGGCTGGCATCTGCATTTAAAGAACAACTCATGTGGTACATCAAGATGTTAGTTTGGGCCAGACAAAGACCATGAGCATGTGTTACAGTGGTTAGATCACTGGGCTAGGCCTTGGGAAATTAATTTCCCAATGAGCCATGAAACTCTGGGTAATCTTTAGCCACTCACTCTTTCTCAGACTGGCCTATTTTATACAGAGGGGCTTTTGTTAGGATGAATGTTAGAAGGACGTTATGCATGCTACCTCGAGCTTAATCTGAGGAAAAGCAAGATATAAATGAATCTGATTCTTTTAAAAAACCAAAAACTAACAGTTAACACTGCCCAGATTCAAAACTCTAAAGGCTTTCTTGAAGTCAACAGCATCTGCATAAGGAGAATGACAATGTTAACTTTAAGCCTCTTGAAGATATCTTGACATGAAGTGGCTTTATATCACATTATTATGTTATGTTATGTTATGTTATATTATGTTATATGTTATGTTATCATCATCATCATAGGCATCCTTCAGTCTCGAGAGACTATGGTAACATGCTCTGAATCGAGGAGTGTCCTCTCCAGAGCATGAAGCCCGGGTAAGGTAATATGGAGGATAGGCTGTTACCCAAGCAGCAGATCCCCCCTCTCCACATTGCTGAAATGGTCCAATGGAAAGGCAAGAGCCAATACAACTGGTTCCAGCAATGTCGCGGGAGTTGGCAGAACGACACATGCTGCCTTCGGGACTCCAGCTCTGGATTTTGCCTCTAGGTTAACTCCTGAAGCCTTATCCATGAGTGGATATAGCCACAAGGCAGTGGAGGTTTGAAATTGGAGTTTTCCTTCTCCTAGATGGGCTGCCTTCCATGGCTGACAAGCCCCACCTACCCGGCCTGCTCTTTAATACTGCAAAAGTATGATCTGATCCTTAAAACTTTCCTAACTCCCTGGCTTATGCAAATCTAATTGGCTTTTCTATTTACCATATTAAGGCCAGATATTAAGGCGCGGTCCTGGGACATGCTCTTTTACAGCAGGAAGTCCCACCCCTAGGCCCCACCCCCAGGCCATGTGGTCAGGAGACAAAAGGAAAGCCCAGG